GGATTTGTTTACGAGTTCAGCAGTTTACTGACTTACTGATACTGGAAATGATCATTCTTATGGTCACGCAATAGTTTTTATTGTCAGTATTGAGTAACCAATAATTGAACTGTTGTATTTTGAACATTTTAAGGACCTTGAGCATTTATCAGAACCACTGCTTAAGAAATGAGCGAGATTGTACATACAACATACACAGTCAGGTTGAGGTAAAGCTTAACTCAAAAAATTGAATCTACTCACGTGTAAATTTGAAAAAAAAATTACGGATGTGAAAAATGATCCCCCAAATTCAGAAAAGACTAGAATTGAGAGATTTTCCTAAAACATCTCAGCCGACTCAGCAGCAGATTTTGGTGTTTGGTTACGTGCTTGAACCAATCACAGCCTGCCTAGATGTTCATGTGGTGAATTTGGATTAAAAATATTGCAATCCTCTCAGTTAAAACAACCACTATCAGTTATTTTCCATATAAGTTATCACTTTTTACGTAGGTCACATGATAGTCATTTTAGAACCGCCCTCCCCATTTAGTTGTTACTCCAGCCCTGTAAGTCACTTTAAATTCAAACATAGTGTAGAAATTACATTATTACGCTCCCCCTCCCCATTTAGTTGTTATTCCTGCCCTGTAAGTAACTTTAAATTTAAACACAGTGTAGAAATTAAATTATTACGCTTCCCTCCCCATCTAGTTCTTACTCCTACCCAGTAAGTAACTTTAAATTTAAACACAGTGTAGAAATTACATTATTACGCTTCCCTCCCATCTAGTTGTTACTCCTGCCCTGTAAGTCACCTTAAATTTAAACACAGTGTAGAAATTACATTATTACACTCCCCCTCCCATTTAGTTCTTACTCCTGCCCTGTAAGTCACTTTAAATAAAAACACAGTGTAGAAATTACATTATTACGCTCCCCCTCCCCATCTAGTTGTTACTCCTGCCCTGTAAGTCACTTTAAATTTGAACACAGTATAGAAATTACATTATTACGCTCCCCTTCCCATTTAGTTGTTACTCCTGCCCTGTAAGTAACTTTAAATTAAAACACAGTGTAGAAATTACATTATTACACTCCCCCTCCCTATTTAGTAGTTTCTCCTGCCCTGTAAGGCACTTTAAATTAGAGCACAGTGTAAAAATTACATTATTACGCCATTGGCCAGCCTAAACTTATAAGGCCATTGGCCAGCCTAAACTTTGGGGGCCGGAAGTCATCTAACTTAAGACTGATTTCTTAGACTAGAAAACAGTAACCACTTATTCATCATAGATCAATCATTAGTTTTTACAAATTCACTACCAAGCTTATCTTAATCAATGGTGCAAGTTAAGATACATGTTTAAATAAAAGTTGGTCCTGTTACGGTTCATGGTGGAGGGAGTAAGATATCAACTTTGGGTGTGAAGGGCCAGATTTCAGGCCTAAGGGGTTAAGTGGCTATATGACAAGGATGTGTCAGTGATCAGGACGACGGTTCAAGTAACTAAGAATGAGAGACAGACAGACATATTATGATACCAGTTACTGCATAACGCTAATCAATCATCATTTTACCAAGCTAGATTACTTACTTTAGATGACATTGTGTCGATATCCCACCAATCAGCATTGAGTGACACGTCCTTCAAGGCTATAAGCAGCGTACTCGTGGAGCTAGCCGACAATGTAGCCGTCAATGTAATTGTAGCCGTCAAGGTTGTAGCCGTCGCCCGTCAATGTTATAGCAGTCAATGATGTAGCCGTCAATGTTGTAGTCGTCAATATTGAAAAAATGTTCATCTGGCGACCGGCAACTTCCTCTTGCTTTTGTGAACCTTGACAAGATCTCTGTTACCATGGTACCATCTGTAGATGGTTACTATGGTAACCATTACCAAGATCTTGGTAATCTCACCTCTCTCTCTCTGATGGTGTTTACAGGATATCCATCATTTGATAGATCTAAAGCGAATTAATAAATATGTTAGATTGGTGTAGGGGAAATCTTTAAGCAAGGTGTTACACAGGGATTTGTTTACGAGCTCAGCAGTTTACTGACTTACTGATACTGGAAATGATCATTCTTATGGTCACGCAATAGTTTTTATTGTCAGTATTGAGTAACCAATAATTGAACTGTTGTATTTTGAACATTTTAAGGACCTTGAGCATTTATCAGAACCACTGCTTAAGAAATGAGCGAGATTGTACATACAACATACACAGTCAGGTTGAGGTAAAGCTTAACTCAAAAAATTGGATCTACTCACGTGTAAATTTGAAAAAAAAATTACGGATGTGAAAAATGATCCCCCAAATTCAGAAAAGACTAGAATTGAGAGATTTTCCTAAAACATCTCAGCCGACTCAGCAGCAGATTTTGGTGTTTGGTTACGTGCTTGAACCAATCACAGCCTGCCTAGATGTTCATGTGGTGAATTTGGTTTAAAAATATTGCAATCCTCTCAGTTAAAACGACCACAATCAGTTATTTTCCATATAAGTTATCACTTATTACGTAGGTCACATAGTCATTTTAGAACCCCCTCCCCATTTAGTTGTTTCTCCAGCCCTGTAAGTCACTTTAAATTTAAACATAGTGTAGAAATTACATTATTACGCTCCCCCTCCCCATTTAGTTTTTACTCCTGCCCTGTAAGTCACTTTAAATTTAAACACAGTGTAGAAATTACATTATTACGTTCCCCCTCCCCAATTAGTTGTTACTCCTGCCCTGTAAGTCACTCTAAATTTAAACACAGTGTAGAAATTACATTATTACGCTCCCCCTCCCCATTTAGTTGTTACTCCTGCCCTGTAAGTCACTTTAAATTTAAACACAGTGTAGAAATTACATTATTACGCTCCCCCTCCCTATTTAGTTGTTACTCCTGCCCTGTAAGTCACATTAAATTTAAACACAGTGTAGAAATTACATAATTACGCTCCCCTCCCCATTTAGTTGTTACTCCTGCCCTGTAAGTCACTTTAAATTTAAACACAGTGTAGAAATTACATTATTACGCTCCCCCTCCCATCTAGTTGTTACTCCTGCCCTGTAAGTCACTTTAAATTTAAACACAGTGTAGAAATTACATTATTACACTCCCCCTCCCCATTTAGTTGTTACTCCTGCCCTGTAAGTCACTTTAAATTTAAACACAGTGTAGAAATTACATTATTACGCTCCCCCTCCCCATTTAGTTGTTACTCCTGCCCTGTAAGTCACTTTAAATTTAAACACAGTGTAGAAATTACATTATTACGCTCCCCCTCCCCATTTAGTTGTTACTCCTGCCCTGTAAGTACCTAACTTTAAATTTAAACACAGTGTAGAAATTACATTATTACGCTCCCCCTCCCCATCTAGTTGTTACTGCTGCCCTGTAAGTACTTTAAATTTAAACACAGTGTAGAAATTACATTAGTACGCTCCCCTCCCCATCTAGTTGTTACTCCTGCCCTGTAAGTCACTTTAAATTTAAACACAGTGTAGAAATTACATTATTACGCTCCCCCTCCCCATCTAGTTGTTACTGCTGCCCTGTAAGTTACTTTAAATTTAAACACAGTGTAGAAATTACATTATTACGCTCCCCTCCCCATTTAGTTGTTACTCCTGCCCTGTAAGTAACTTTAAATTTAAACACAGTGTAGAAATTACATTATTACGCTCCCCCTCCCCATTTAGTTGTTACTCCTGCCCTGTAAGTCACTTTAAATTTAAACACAGTGTAGAAATAACTTTATTACGCTCCCCCTCCCCATCTAGTTGTTACTCCTGCCCTGTAAGTCACTTTAAATTTAAACACAGTGTATAAATAACTTTATTACGCTCCCCCTCCCCATCTAGTTGTTACTCCTGCCCTGTAAGTCTCATTAAATTTAAACACAGTGTAGAAATAACTTCATTACGCTCCCCCTCCCCATCTAGTTGTTACTCCTGCCCTGTAAGCTACTTTAGATTTAAACACAGTGTAGAAATTACATTATTACGCTCCCCCTCCCCATCTAGTTGTTACTCCTGCCCTGTAAGTAACTTTAAATTTAAACACAGTGTAGAAATTACATTATTACGCTCCCCCTCCCCATTTAGTTGTTACTCCTGCCCTGTAAGTATTTAATTTTAATTTAAACACAATGTTAGCTGTTATTGTTGTTGTGATCTGTAACCAATAATTGAACTGTTGTATTTTAAAATTTTAAGGACCTTGAACATTTATCAGAACCACTGCATAAGAAATGAGCGAGATTGTACATCCAACATGCACAGTCAGGTTGAGGTAAAGCTTAACTCAAACAATTGATCTACTCACGGGTAAATTTGAAAGAAAATTATTACGGATGTGAAAAATGATCCCCCAAATTCAGAAAAGCATAGAATTGAGAAATTGTCCCTAAACATCTCAGCCGACTCAGCAGCAGATTTTGGTGTTTGGTTACGTGCTCGGTGCTTGAACCAATCACATCCTGCCTAGATGTTCATGTGGTTAAAACGACCACTATCACTTTTTTATTACGTTGGTCACATGTTAGTCATTTTAGACCCGCCCTTCCCATTGGCCATTTAGTTGTTACTCCTGCCCTGTAAGTCACTTTAAATGTAAACACAATATAGAAATTACATTATTACGCTCTCCCTCCCTATTTAGTTGTTACTCCTGCCCTGTAAGTCACTTTAGGGACTCCCGAACCCTTTCTCCTCTAATGATATGTTACATACAAATCCGGTCATTTAAAAAACAGTAAGCGATCCCTAACACAACTGTTATTACGGCTTGCAGCCCCTCATAAATTATTTGACGTTTTTCATTTTAATCGTATACAAGACCAAACCGTTGAGTTAATGAAATTCAAACTGATTTGGGCTTTTATTTGTTTGCCTGACCTCAATACTTCAGCATTTCTAGTTTTGATCCAGTTTTCTCTTTTGCATATCTATGTTTTGTTTGTTTGCATATCATCTTGATAAAATATTTGCGTTAACACAATATACATTTTTAATTAGCTAAATCATCCAAAGACAACGACTCTCGAAATCAGGTGAAGCGAGAATGAAAGTTAATCTTTTGATCGCACTGCCTCTACTGATCTTCCTAGTTCAGGGTTACTACAGTCAACTCCAAGGTATGATGTTTGAAATTAAATAAACAGATTCTATCTTATCGTTCCCATTATTCAGTATTCACGGTTATAGTCTATTTGACAGTTTTATAATTGTGCAAAGTTCCAACGTTTAATAAAATGCCGGACCAGAAAAAGTCCGTACGTATGATGTTACGCTAAGTGATATCATTCTTTTCCAGGAAAATCAGGAAAAGAAAACGTATATGACATTGACAGCGAACAACGAACAGGTTAGAAATTCCGTCCATCTCAACCTACCACAAAGTTGAACAAATTATAAATAAAGCAAGACGATAAATTCTACGTAAATTTTGTTGTTATTTCTACTTAGTTGATTATACTTACATCAGCTATTGAGATATGTCCAATTGAACTTGAAGAGTAAGACTTGATCTGGAGGAGTAATTAAGGGCCTACGAAATAATTTCTACTGGTATTTTGTCGAGCTAAACATTCTGAACCCTTTAAACATCCTCAATTTGCTTGAATCTCAAAAATGGCGATCTGGAAGCCAGTCTTACAGGTTCTAATCGGACGTATCAGAGCTACTTCAGCTATTAAGTTATTTCCAATTGAACTTGAAGAGTAAGACTGGATCTGGAGCTGTAATTTAGGGCCTACGAAATAATTTATACTGGTATTTTGTCGAGCTAAACATTCTTCACCCTTTGAACATCCTCAATTTGCTTGAATTTCAAAAATGGCGAGCTGGAAGCCAGTTTTACAAGTTCTAATCGGACGTATCAGAGTTACTTCAGCTATTGAGTTATGTCCAATTGAGGGTAAGACTGGATCTGGAGGAGTAATTTAATCACCATCGAAATAAATTCTATCGGTATTTTGTCGAGCTGAATATCCTGCACCCTTTGAACATCCTCAATTTGCTTGAATCTCAAAAATGGTGAGCTGGACGCCATTCTTACAGGTTCTTATTGGACGTATCAGAGTTACTTCAGCTATTGAGTTATGTTCAATTGAAATTAGAAGGGTAAGACTGGATCTAGAGGAGTAATTTTAGGGCCTACGAAATAACTTCTATCGGTATTTTGTCGAGTTGAACAACTTGCACCCTTTGAACATCCTCGATTTGCTTGAATCTCAAACATGTTGAGCTGAGTGAGTTTGGTGCTTCTTCACAAGTCGCAAACTCCTGAAGGAACTTGCTGACATTGTAGAGACCTGAGATCTCGACTAAAATTGATTTTCCACTGTTTATATTAAAGGAGGACACATTTAGAACTCCTTCCATACTCCTTCAGGACTATATTGACGATAATTTTACGTGTTAATGATTGCTGAAAAATATGGGCGTGGCCCAGGTCAATATTTCCAGACACCGTAGAGTCACACATTTTTGTTGGTTGTTCCTGACCCCATACAGCAACAAATTAGATACGATCCCTAATTATTTTAGCAACTAATGGTAATGGTGAATCGCCCTAGGGAGAGGTCTAAAGTGGCCCTAATTTAGCTTAGTTTATATTTAAACGATCTGTTACTGTGACCAACTTTCGACAAATAATGGCTGCAATTTGGTTAATGTTGGTTTGACGACCCTATAATGATGCTAGTTTCAATGGGCCTTAATATTACCATGGTTATTGACATTTAAATTAAGGCGAATCAGAAGTCACAATTATGTGGATACTAAATAGAAAATTGTGTTCAAGGTGGTACAGTTGGAAAAGAACCCGTGACGATAAAAGGTGAACAGCAGTTAACCTCTTCTGGCCCTTCTCCGGGATCAGGTCAGCAAATGTCAGGGTTATAATCAGTGGTCGACCGGGGGCAGGATTCTGACCGGGGCCGGGGAGCCCCAATATAGCCGGGGCCGGGAAATCTTCCATTTTTCCGGGGCCGGGGCAGGGGCCGGGGGTAGTTTACCAAACTGTAGTCAGAAATTGAAACATGAATTTGATAATAATTTAGGCTGGTGTGATGCAATCGGGAAGGATTAAACTCGAGGTGCGGCTTATCCTCACCGACTTGAGGATTAAACCACAACTTCGTGCTGTGAACCAACTCGGGATAATCCTCAGGTCATACATAATTTCTAATCCTCAACTCGGAACTGAGGATAACCCTCAGCTGCTACAGTGCTACTTAATCTGGACCATGGTAAAATTTTGCTACTGGATAGTAGCAAAATGTTTACTTTTTACCATGGTTTTAATGTTAGGCTTTGTACTTTGTAGTTTACGTTGAGCCGTTATAGTTTTAGCTGCAGTGCATTATTTTTACTTTCTAGTTTCTACGTACGGTATGTTTTATCGCAAATTTCTCGGAGACGATTAATTGAAAAGTCCGATACTGAGGAAGAACCACGGTTTTTATGTTACTAGCCGTAGTCTAATTTAAGCCAATTGTTTCAACTTTGAAATCTCATAATTACCATTAAATTGTGTTTGATTTTTTAAATTAATTAAATGTGCCAAAATCATTCATGAAATCCCCGGCTGTGCCCCCGGTATATGTATGGTTTTTGGCCGGGGCCGGGAGTAAATTTATTGACCGGGGACGGGGCCGAGGTTTACCCCCGACGAATTGCCAAATAATTTTGGCCGGGGCCGGGAAGGGCCGGGGTTGCGATTTTGGCCGGGGCCCCGGCAGGGGCCAGGGCCCCGGTCGACCACTAGTTATAATCTACTTGACATAGATACTTGTAACAACATGGTCCATAATTTTTGTTTACGTCATGCTGGTGACAGTATGAGTAAAGGACCAGCAATAACGAGGGAGGAGTCTAAAGTGGCCCTTATTTAGCTTAGTATATCCACCAGCGTGCGCTTTTTCGCATAGCGGGCTCTCACCAGCCCGCTGTCAAAGGGCCCGATATCTCTACAGCCCGCTCATGATATAGCCCGCTAACAAGTGACATTTAATTTGACCATTAGCAATATAGCCCGGAGTTCTCTAAAATATTTTCAGTTTCTGTATCGTCTCCATGTGAAATTCCATAAGACAACAACTGACAAGTTTCTCAGAACTATAGTTGAAACCGGTTTAATTCATTAACGATGAATTCAATTGCAATAATCGTACAGTGAGCTAATTAGTGTAGTTTCTGTTTCTAAATTCCCACGGCAATATGCAGTGGATGTAAAGAATGTATCAACTGTAAACTCTGAGCTCACCCTCTATCGGACGCTATATCAGTTGTCACGCAGTTTGCCATGATTGGCTCATAATTAACACGTGACACTGACAAACTGTTACTATGATTACCAAATTCGTGGAGACGTTCAGACTAAAGTCTAAGCCGGTGATCTCTATTATAGTATCGATAATTGTTTTGTGTTTACCATTTCAGTTGTGTTTACCATTTTCATTTCACTAGTTCAGTCGATAAATCTTGAAATGTAGGCCGAAATTTTATTGTGTTCCCGAAAGATATTTTGCCCTGTTTTTGTTTTGAAACTGCCATTTAAATTGATTTTATGAATTTGATCTTTAACTTTCATATTAAATGTCCATGATCAGACTGTGATCTCGAGCTCTCTGGGTTACTACTTTTAAGTGTCCAGCCACTCAGTAGCTGCTACAGAAACTGTAGTAACTGGTTACCCGGGTAACCCTGGTTACCCAGGTAACTGACATGATAATGACAACTAACTTGGTAGTAGAGGGCTCTGTGGCGACTGGTGGTGCTTGTTCTGGTTCCAGGGAGGGAGAGGGGAGAGAGGTAGAGAAGTATAGAGGAAGAGTAGGAGAGAAAGAGAGGGAGAGGAGGAGAGAGGGAGATAAAGAGAGAGGGATAGAGGGAGAGAGGGACGTAAGGAGAGTGGGAGAAGGAGAAAAGAAGATAGGGAGAGAGTGAGAGAGGGATAAAGGGATAGAGGGAGAGAGGGAGAGAAGGAGAGAGGGAGAGGGCCTATATTTTGATCGTTTACATTAAAATATGTACCTGAAACAATGAGCTGAAACATTGTTTGATAGCAGCCGGTTTTTCGTTCTATAGTCAGTCATTTTGGCCTGTTTTACATCTTAAACCAAAAGCAACATGATTTTTTCGTAACTTTTCTGAAATCTTGTACATTAATTTGCTGTGATTGTTGCAAACTGAAGCTTCGTGATAAACGCCCGCTGGTGGATATACGCGATATCATTCCTCGCCTCGAGGGCGGAACTATTGTATTAGAAACTTGTCATACGTTGTATGACCCGCCGCGCACGAGTGCGCGGCTCCCCCTGTATCGTCGAAACTCTAGTGAAGCGACCGTGGGGGTCACCACGTGAGTCTTCGGTGATATGTATATATATCGCCGCGAGGGTGCGGGCGATATAAATATCCGCCCGCTAGGCTGCGTGGATATATATATTTATATTTGAACGATCTCTTACTGTAAATGTAATCAACTTTTGACAAATAGTGGCTACAATTTGGTTAAAATTGTTTGTCAACCCTTTAGTGATGCTAGTTTTAATGAGCCCTAATATCACTGGTTCACAGATCGAACTAAACCATACATACAAAACGAAGAAATGTTAATTTGTAGCAACACTCATCAAGGCGTATTTATTGACATTTAAATTAAGGCGAATCAGATTTCACAATTATATGGCTACTAAATACAAATGTCGTTCCAGGTAGTACAGCTGAAAGAAAACACGGAATGGTTCGAAGAGAACAGCAGGTAACCTCTTCTGGCCCTTCTAGTTCAACAGAATCAGGTAAGAAGTGGTGAGCGTTATAATCTACTGAACATAAATACTTGCAACAATTAAATCTCTTACTGTCACCAACATTAGACCAATATTGGCTACATTTGGTTAAAGGTTTTTGTCAATGCTTGTAATGATGCTAGTTTTAATGGGCCCTAATATCACTGGTTCACAGATCGAACTAAAACATACATGTAAAACGAAGATATGTAACATTTTAGCAACACTTATCAATGCGTATTTATTGACATTTAAATTAAGGCCGCGAATCAAAACTCACAATTATATGGATACTAAATAAAAATTTCGTTCAAGGTGGTACAGTTGGAAAAGAACCCGTGACGATAAAAAGTGAACAGCAGTTAACCTCTTCTGGCCCTTCTTCGGGATCAGGTTAGAAAATGTCAGCGTTATAATCTACTTAACATAGATATTTGTAACAACATGGTCCATAATTAGTATTAGATCATATTAATGTCGCCAAATTAAATGTCAACAACAACAAGTCCAATATTAAAATGTTTCCCATGTTGGTTTACGTCATGCTGGTGACAGTATGAGTAAAGGGCCAGCAATAACGGGGAGGAGTCTAAAGAGGCCCTTATTTAGCTTACCTTACTCGGGATTATTATGACCGGGATAAAGTGGTGGGTTTAGGGTAATTTTGATAATAAGATAAACACGATATTATAAAACTGGAATAATTAGATTAAAATAATACACAATACTATCTACTTGAACAATGATAATGAGATAATACACAATACCGTACTACTTGAATCTTTCCTAGTCAATTGCTTTACAGAATAACACACTCCACTACGCACTCTCACTGCAATGACTAACAAAGGTAAATAGTAATTCAATATATAATAACTCAATCACTTCAATTACACAAAGTATCCAAATCACTATCAATCAATGTAACTTCTCTACTACAATACACCGACACTATTACTTGTCTTCTGTTGAGATCTCTACAATACACCGACACTATTACTTGTCTTCTGTTGAGATCTGTGGAGTTCTTCTCTGAAGTCCTTCGTACTGGAATCTATCTTAAGTACAATCCAATTGACTTATATTCACCGATAGTCCACACTGGTCACACCGACCGTACACTGTAATCTATCTTTTCACCGATAGTACACACACTGGTCACACCGACCGTACACTGCAACTGTAATCTATCTTCTCACCGATAGTACACACTTGTCACACCGAAGAACACGACTCCTAACACAAGTCCACCAACATACAACCGCAACTGGCGTGGCTAGCAGCACTGGTACACCGTAGAGCAACCACCAACGTCGAGTAGACGAATAGCCTCCAAGATCACATCATTTTCCTAGAATGGATTAAATTATGTTAGTATGGTATTTAATGAATAATGATGTACTTTATTATATAATATCATCATTAACAATCTTCCCCACTTTTAAAAAAAAAGTAAACTGCCGTCGTCAGACAAGCCAATTTAATACGAAACTTAAAACCCGAAAATCCGAACAAGCAAATTAAATAAACTCGTGCGCGCGGCACAAAAATCTTCAAACAGATTGTAACTAATTAAAAATTCTCCTGCAAACTTCCTATCGCGCGTTACGTCTGAACTTTCAGTAGACCCTTTACGTCTAAAATCTCATTGTGACAATAAACTTACACACGCGAGCGTTCAAAACACTGCCAAAAGCTCTAATAAAACTCTTTAAACATTCTAATACACTCTTTAAAACCCACATGATTAAAACATTTTTACTTTAACTGTTTAAAAAAAAAACCCTCATTGCATGCTTAACAAAAACTTAACATGCTATATTGTTGTTAAAATAAAGACAATCCCCTATCGCTAGATGACCTTCAAGTCAAATCTCGACAAAACATGCATAAAAACACAAACAACTGTGAACATTATCACATAGTACTTTCCCTTTATAAATATCGGAAATCTATCATTAAAAATACTTAACTCTGTAAAATTCTAACACGGCAAAAAAATGAAATTCGTACCAGATATAAAATCCACGGTAAAAAGAATGAAAATCGAACATGATATAAAATTCCACGGCACAAAAGTAAGTTAATAAAAGTTAATGATAACTGACGTGATAAAAACTCACATCGAACAATTACCCATAAATAATAATTTATTCCTAAAACTCTGACATTACAGAAAAGTACACTCTAAAACAAGTATTAATCCACTTACCTGATTATACTTACCTCTTATAGTCTCTCTTCAATCATACATCTATCTGAGATATTCTTGTGTTAGAAATGTATACAATGAAAATCTTATACACTCAATACAAAAGTGTATATATTCAATTAATATGTATAAAATACACATAGTATATATCTATTAATAGTAATATATTGTTTTCATCAAACCGTGCTTCTCTCTGATTCTTCAATTTAGCACAAATATATAGTTTCCACTTCAACTGATTACACATCACACCTCACCATATCTCTCCTTTGGTATCATCACAGTATCAATACTAGACTCTGTGTCTGGAGAATCATGTGATTTTTTCTGCACTTGACACTCACTGAGACGCAATTGAATTGTTGTACCTTCTGGTTCTTTCACCAAGTTCCAGACGTTGATGTTTTCCTTGCTTACAGAATTTTCTTTCCATTCAGGTCCAATTACACTTGCTCTCTGCCACACATCGTTGGTATGATCTGCTGATTTATACCTTATGACATCCTCACTCTTAAAGTCTAATACCTTATTCCTCTTGACTACTACATCTACCCAGTCTTGATTCTCATCCGACGAAGAAGCACTCTGAAATTCATCAGGCTCACTTGTGTCTCTATTTTCATCACCGACACTTTCTGACTTCACTTGTTCACTACTGGTCTCTACATTAGCAGATTCTTCTATTGAAGTTTCAGTTCCACTCGAAACTTCCACTCCTTCTGCTGATGGTTCATTGCTTACTTCCTCTGATTCATTCGGACAGAATTCATCTTCACTGTCACTATCACTATCAACAATCTCCTCTTTCCTTACAGTTTGTTCAATGGTATATTTCTCTGATTTCATATTTTCCCATAACATGATATCTGCCACCTGATTTGGTCACTTTCAGTTGTTGCCGTTCTCCGCCAATCATAATCTGATCATTCTCTATGTCTAATGATACTCCCAGTTGCTTCATGCTACATCTAGAGAACAAAAATGGTAATTCTCCTGGAACCACAAATGTTTCTAACATGAAATCTCTGTTACACAACTTTACGGGTAACATGACACATTTGATAGATTCGACTGCGCGTCCGTCTCCAAAACGAAAACTCAAGTTTCTCTCGACTTCGCTTACCTTTTTCTTCAACTCTTCAGGCATTGACTCTAAGAATGTGTTCAACCAAACATCACCACACACATTACTGGTTGTCCCAGTGTCAATCAACACCTTGTTCAATGTCTCATTGACTAACAGAACTGTCTCACAGTAGTCATTGTCAATTTTGTTTGATTCTTTACCATTCCTGCACGTCTGATACATACACACTGAGCTCGAATCCTTCTTTCGAACATCATTAACATTGGGATTATGTTGACAATCTGCCCGGAAATGCTTATTCGAATCACAAATTGAACATCTTGCTACATCGCCAGTTTTGTGACTGATAGCATTTAACTCATCTTTGTAGTCTGAGTTATTCCTTTCTTTTGAATTGAGCTGTTTGTCTCTTTCCCATGGTTTGCTGTAATTTCCAGATTTCCATCTGCTATTGGAGTAATTGTTATAACCACCAGAAGAGAACGATTTCCTTCCTCCTTGGCCTCGATTATTGTATCCTTGATAGAATGTATATTCTTCGTTATCACCACTGCTATCAGTATCCTTTTCATCAAACTGACCCCTATGGTAATGCACATCCAATCCAGGTTCTACCTTAATCTTCACTGTGTCTAACTCCAATCTGGATCTACGACAGAAAACAGCGTCACCGAAACACCTCTTCAAACATTCCTCAATTGCTATACTTGTCAACTCTTGAGTCCCCATTGCAGCTTTGATCAATATCTGTTGATCTTTGGTCAGGTTGGCCTGAGTTAACAACCTGTATGCCAACATACTATCATGATAAATTTCTTTCTTGTCATTAAACAACTCTCCGATCCGGTTCAATCGTCTCCTGAACTCAGCGATATATTCTGCCATTTGCATTTGTTCCGGTCTAACAAACTTTTCTAGATCATCAATACCTAGAAATATACTCTGAGTATTATCCTCTTTAAAATACGTATCAAGCTCTTTCATCAAGTACGTTAAACCTTCAGTTTTCTTGAGCTCTGTCACATCTAAGCGTGTTGCAAAATCTCTTGCCTTGAAATCCTGGATCCTCAAGACACACACCGCAGCCTGCCTAGCAGCTGCTATCGAAGTTCCCAACTCCCAGATGCCGACTTCACGTTTCCACTTCAGGTAATCCATCCCCTCTGTCAACAAAGGTGGTTGGTCTCCTCCCATGTCTTTATCTTTTCTTTACCTGCTACCAATGATAATAAGATAAACACGATATTATAAAACTGGAATAATTAGATTAAAATAATACACAATACTATCTACTTGAACAATGATAATGAGATAATACACAATACCGTACTACTTGAATCTTTCCTAGTCAATTGCTTTACAGAATAACACACTCCACTACGCACTCTCACTGCAATGACTAACAAAGGTAAATAGTAATTCAATATATAATAACTCAATCACTTCAATTACACAAAGTATCCAAATCACTATCAATCAATGTAACTTCTCTACTACAATACACCGACACTATTACTTGTCTTCTGTTGAGATCTCTACAATACACCGACACTATTACTTGTCTTCTGTTGAGATCTGTGGAGTTCTTCTCTGAAGTCCTTCGTACTGGAATCTATCTTAAGTACAATCCAATTGACTTATATTCACCGATAGTCCACACTGGTCACACCGACCGTACACTGTAATCTATCTTTTCACCGATAGTACACACACTGGTCACACCGACCGTACACTGCAACTGTAATCTATCTTCTCACCGATAGTACACACTTGTCACACCGAAGAACACGACTCCTAACACAAGTCCACCAACATACAACCGCAACTGGCGTGGCTAGCAGCACTGGTACACCGTAGAGCAACCACCAACGTCGAGTAGACGAATAGCCTCCAAGATCACATCATTTTCCTAGAATGGATTAAATTATGTTAGTATGGTATTTAATGAATAATGATGTACTTTATTATATAATATCATCATTAACAAATTTCGCCATATTTTTCCCGAACCACATTTTCACCGGTCGTTAATAAACCCGCCTACTCAGCTTTTAGGGTTCCCAAGGGGTATGGGTGCTCATATTTTAATCGTTGTCTTA